ATCATAAGTTGCCCATATGATCTAGCAGTTAAGTACTGTATGCAGAAAGGAAGATTTACTGAACCTAACTTCAAACTGTGGTGGCAGTAGCTCAGTCTGTAGGGACTTGGGTTGGGAATTGGAGGGTCGCCAGTTTAAGTCCCAGTACGTAAAACTGATTTCCCCTCGTGGTATTAATAAAGGAATTGGATCAATTATTATTATTAGAAATGAAACCATGTGACAGATGAAAAAAGCAGCATTAGAGCCAAAACACATTGTTGCCACATTTGGGGTAATCGTGCAGTAATTGATTGATGCAACCATTTTTGCTTTAGCATTTGCAATGACTTGGCTACTAAAAACACAGGGGTGTTGGGACTGTGTGTCCAGTGTTCACCACATTCAAACACTGGCCATTTTCCTCTGACATCACACTCTTGGTGGTTATAAAAAATCTTGTTATTGTACAAAATTATGTCCATTAAAACTTTAACTCTTGTATTGTTTAACACTTTAAAAAAAGGACATTTATGCATCCATAAAGGATAATAATAATTTGTGACATTTCCTTTATTTTTATGACATTCAATCTTGATCACAGCGTTTTGTAATTTCATCAGCAATTGAGCGTCCAATCCAGTGTGTGATGCCAAAGGTTAAAAGTCGGCTGCTGTCTAAATGTGTGATTAGCTTCCACTCCTGTAATGGGAAAATGATGTGGGAACAAAGCAGTTTCCTGTAATTTGGATTTGTCACTCATACCTGACCTCTACCACAGTTCCTGTAAAGTCTTACACATAAGATAGAAATCTCAAAATGTGTCGAGTGGTCGAGAGATAAGAACAGGAGGCAGAAAGATGGGTGCAGAGCTTTGTCGACGCTGCACTCCCACACCACCACTCTCCTGATGAACAGCCACTCGGAACATATGTGCTTGCTCCTTCACACATCTGAGAGTCCTTTAGCGATGTGGAGGTGTGTGTGTGTGTGGTTGGGGGGGAGTGCTGGTCACAGGTTGAAGGCCACATCTGGGAGCATGTGACATGGGTTGTCCGATTGTTGGGATGTAGTTGGCCTGTGTGTGTGTGTGTGGTGTGTGTGTGTGTACAGGTGGCCACACAAGGTGACAGGCATGCCAAGAGGTCGTATTTATCCATCAACACCTTTCCAGTCAACAGGCTGTGTGTGAAATCCAGGAAGCCTTGACCCCTCCCATTCTTCTCAGATGTCAATGCTAATGTTGGTGCCACCTGTTTGAGCAGTATATGCACTGCTGCTATTTATAATACTCACTATCGCACAAGCAGTGCTGTCATTGGATGGTCTTTGCCCCATTCAGTGATATATAGAGATAGTTATAGTGTTCACCATGATTTATATTACTGGAAATGACTGGCTTGGAATTTCTGGCTGGGAATTTCCTGTTTGGTTAAGTATAAAACTTGTTTTCTCTTTTTAGACACTGACTGTGCTCTGAAAGATTTTACTGTGGAGAAAAACAAATAATGCCCAGAAGAATGCTCTTTACACTTTACAAGAAAGCTTAATGTAGTCAGTATAACTTAGTTGGACTTATCACTTTTATTTCGGAGGAGGTGCCTTTTTTTTATGGGAGCGTTGATCTCCACACCATATTGTGTGTGTGAATGAATTAGATCTTTTGTGGTGTGGAAGTTCCTCCCTACTCCCAGGAGAGCTGTATTCAGTTTCCTCTCACACTTAAAGTAATTTCATGCACTTTAAATGGCTGTCAATTGTGTTGCTGATTACTTGTATGAATGATGGGCTAGTCGCTCTATTGGATATACCTCTGTACTGTCAGTCAAATAGTGAAAACTCTGTATTTCACCTGACTATTTTACCTAGAAGCACACGATTTTTAAGTTTCAAATCATTCCCTCTTCATTTTGGAAATCCTGATTTGTCATCCTCACTTCCTGTCCTGTAGTCAGAATCCAGGTAAAAGACGTTGATTCATTCTCCTGGGTTGCCCTCGGTTACATGCCTGTTGTTCTAACAGCTGTTTTAAGGGTTGTAAGCGGGTCCCTCTCGGGCCACATGAAGGCTCACCTAATCCTCTGACTGATGGGGGGGTGATGCTGTTCGACACAGACTGTCAGGAAGCTCATGGACTCAGAAAACTACTCGGCGCACACTACACGATTTCTGGGTGGAAAAACATACTTTTGCAATATCAAGCATAATCAGTGTTATACTGAATATCAGCACAGCTATCAATCGGTCATTATTTGGAGGAAATCATGCTCACAAAATAAATATCTGTAACTTGTTTCCAATTATACAGTAAACATGAACAGAAAATTACATGCCAGGGGTAAAACAAGAAAATCAACAGAGGGATATGCTTATGTTGAGTACCTATTGTTTTAGTTTGAAATAAACATGCTTTGTCTGTTTAAAAAGAAGATGTTGCTTTAGGACTGTTTTCTGACGCAGGACCAGCGGAAACTCAGACTGCTGTTCAGACTCGTCGTACACATTGTGTGCTGTCTCTTCAGTCGATTTGATATTCTCATAACTCAAGTTGCTGCTATACTTTCCATCCACAGAGCACTTTGGTGGATGCAACAGTGGGATTTGTAGTTTTTATGTCGTCCTTAAATTCAGAGTAATAGCAAGTCCTGCAGTGGGATGTTACTTTCATACACCTGTTCTTCTATAGGCATCATAGCCCCACCACTATTAAACTCTTTATCAGCGCTCGTTTAAAGTCCAATCAAGCTCTCTGGTTGGAGACAACTGTTGAACTCATAAATAAATGTGTAGAGTCATATTTCACATCATGACGATGTTTAACTGTTAAGTTGTGAACTATTCAACAGAGAAATGAATGCATTTATAATAACTTAAAAGTGATGACTAAGTCTTGTTGAAGGCTTAATCTTACACAATAAAACCAAACGTATGCTTTTGACCATCAGTGTCTCATAATGAGTTTGACGTGTGCAATGATTGTGTCAAACTACATATGTGGCTGGAGGGAGTGTATCAGGGGAAGATTTAAGAGGAAGATCATAGACGAGAGAGACGGGAGAGTATCATCCACAGCCAGAGCACACTGTCACGTCTGTGTAGGGAGTGAAAGGGATGATTCAGTTTATGCATCATGCAGAGAGGAGCAGTGAAGTGCAGGGCTGCATATAGATGTCTGCGCTGTCAGAGGAGTCCTTGTTCTCTCACTCACACTGAGTCGAGTTCTCTCCACGCACCTCAGTCGGATTCATCTCGATGCATGTGGGCCGCTTTTTTTTTTCTGACTTGTCACACAAACCCAGAGTTAATGTTATAGCTTTCGCTGGTTCTCGGCCAAGTGGTGTCTCACTTTTGAAACCGTTCCACACAAAGAACACTAATGATGTCTATTACATGTTACAGTCCACTGACATCGTGGGAAGCTGCTGGCAAGGGGGCACCACCCAAATAAAAAAAAAAAAAAAAAAGAGTCAGCTGGAGACCAAGCCTGCAACTTTTGAAAGCAGAAGCTTCTCAAAACCTCCTCTGCTTTTGTAATGATGCCTGTATGTTAGAATTTTTTAATGTCCAGATATCATTGATTATACTTCCTTTTCAACTTTTACAATTCTGGACAAACTGCAAGAGGTGAATGAACTGAAAGATGTTGATCCATAAGCTCTCCTGTTGAATAATAATCATTTAATTTAATAATCTCCAGTACCAGTCCTTTTTTAAATATCTTTATTCAGAAGTTAATTCATTATTTGCATGGACGTTTTTTTCACAGGTTTTTGAGGCGTTGTGGATAAAGAGCTAGCAACAAGTGTCAACACCTGGCATTGCAGTGATCAGTTTTGATGAGAGGAGGAAACAGCAGGCCTCCTTGTATGCAAAAATGTAACCAATCTCCTTTGGCTTCGTACACGTTTATCTAAAAAAAAACATCCTTCTCATAACTAACAGTAGGCAAAACCAAAATCCTTCTACAACCTGTGGGAATCAAAACATTTGAAATGATCAGTGGTTGAAATGTATAAACACCATTTCTCAACACTCAGTAATTAAAGCAGGGTTCAACCGAGGAAAAAACAGTGGGGCAGAAAGTCCTGTCATTCCTGTAATATGAGCAGTTAACTGGGTGTCACCTCCTTTTCATTGTCTTAAAGCTTTAACAAAGCCTTCCAAGAAGTCTCTCCCTTCTTTTTTCTTCCCCTGCGCCGAGCACAATAGAGCAGGTACGAGCTGTTCAGATGTGGAGATAAAGGCTTTTGAAGCACAAGGTTGTTCGTCAGTATTTGATACTATCAAATTCACCTGACCTGAGCTTTGTGTAAAGCTCATTTGTGTAGTATTCTGCTAATGCTCACTACATGTATGACTCCCAACCCCTCTGAATGAAAACGAAAGCTGTGAGCAGTACCGTGCAACCTCAGTTCTGTAGTGTTGAGGGCAAAGGTCAACTTTAGTTTTGCAAATGGAGGTTGTAGAACTTGATTTCATCATTTGGGTCTTGTGCATATTTTTTATTTTGTCAAGATAAATCTCTCAGCAGACTGTCAATGACAAGAAAATACATTTTATAGACATTTTGTTTAAGCCTTGCAGATGTAAAAGATGCTGCTTATACTGTGAGTTTGAAGTTTATTTCGGACATGTGAAAAGAAGAAAAGAGAAGAAATTTCTTGATTTTACTGCGCTGTTTTTATTTGATTTTATATTTGGCTGTGTATTTTGCTGTGTCCTTGTGTTTCTTGTCTTCTGTGTGCTCCTGTTGCAAAGCAAATTTCCCCTTGTGGGACAATAAAAAATCTGAATCTGAAGAAAAGAAAGTAATATGTACAAACAATGAAGGACATCATAAAAAAGCTCTTAAATACGTTCTATCAATTTACATGTCTGAAATTGTACCCATTTTCATGAAATAACCGTGACAATTTCCAATAGAAACCATTGAACAGTGTTAAAGTATATTTAGCATACAGAATCTATTTTGCCTTGTTTGAAAAAGCACCAAACTAAACGTTGATCCTTCATCTTTGCAGATTCACAGTTGAAGCCCTGCGCTGTCGTGTATGCATGGAGGCTGACTGGTGGAGGCTTCCTGTCCTGTTCTGCTGAGGTCACTCAGCCGTCATTTCCAACCAGCGTGGTCTTCTGCAGGCCTGAAGGAGGGCAAAAAGGCCCGCCATCCGACGAGCCTGGAACTGCATGGACAAGAAGGAAAAAAATAAACAAAGGCTTTAAAAAGAGGCGCCCTACATGAATTCCCTTAAATCCTGAAAGGCAAATACTGCAAGTTGGACTGGCGGTCCCGAGGGAAGGCATGTGGACAATGAGTATGGCTTGGCTCCATCTCCCGGCCTACGTTATCCTGCTCGTCTGCTGCCTTCATACAGCACTCACGGAGAACGATGTCACTCCACGCCTCTCATTCCCCTACAGTAAGTTTGACCAACTTTTTGAAATTAAAAGTGAAACTGCTAAGTATGTTTTGGATATTTCTATGGAGCTCATCACTTGATCACATGATTCACCCAGATGCTTAAGTGCAAGGTAGTAGACTTATTGGGTTGGTCTTTGTTTGAAAAGAAAATATGGTGTACACTTTGGTGCTCCCTTTTGGGCTTTGTTGCATGTATTATATATTATTATATATTTATATGCGATTTTTTGATCCAGCAGATGTCGCCCTTGAGCACCAGCATGAAACCAAAACAACTTGCGCTGCATTGTTGTGTTAGCATGCTAATGCTAGTGATCTTTATTATGCTGGTATCTTCACACTGCATGTAAATTTACCTGAAATGAGCGTGATCTAGAAACACAGTTAAGCAGTGAGTACAGTATGTTATTCTTCTTTTCTCTAGTCCCTCAATTAAACAACTTTTATACACGAGGGGAGGAGTCAGCCGGCTGTCCCGGCGATGTAAACAAACTAAAGATAGACTCAGAAAACATCACAGACAGTGGGACTCGGGTGTTACACCCATTGTAGACAGTCATGACTCACAGAGTTATTTTCAGAGGATATACTTGATTTATATTACATGTAAGTGTGAAAAATCGCATATTAAGCTTTTAACAGCTGTTCTTTGTAAACAGTCAATACTCGATACTGTCCTCACTAAAAACACAACCTTATATGTATATTATGCACGAGGTCACAAGCAACTATTTCAAGGTTTATTATTAGGCGATAAGACCTAAGTGGCGGTTGCTAAGTAATAAAATACACAGCATAACTTCAATTACTGTAATAAACTGAGCTTAATATTATCCAAACTACTGTATTAACCCTTGATAATCATGTTTTTTAAGTGCTTTAAAAAGCACACTGTGACCTTTTTCACAACTTGAAGCACATAAAACATCTTTGTACTGATGTGCTCAGTATTTGTTGCCTGCTATTGGTAGATGTGCCAATTTAGAAAAAGCTCCTGACAGTAAACCCGTGCTGTATAGGTTGACGGTTGAAAGGGTAAAAAAAAAGCTGGACTTTGAATTCCTCCTGATGTGTTGTATCTCTGTTGCAAGTGAACAGCTGTTCAGAGTACAACCGTCTAATCAGAGAACTTATTTATTACAGACAGTAAACATAAACAGGAACTGTGATTTGTCAAACTGCTTAGTTGTGCTCAAATATCACAAGAGTTTACAAGACTTTTTTCGTCTCTCTATCCTGCCTGACTGGTTTAGCAAACTCCAATTGTCTCCATGTTTATTAACTCTGCATGTTAAGTGAATATCAATACACTTCATGTGTGTGTCCTTTTGTGAGAGCTAAAGGGATTTGGACGGGTTGAAATGGTGTTTGTCGACAGCATAATGATTTCAAATCCATGTAAATCCACGCGGTGAATGGCAGCTCCATGAAGGGTGGCTCTGTCGAGTACCTACAGGTCAGACATAATTACAAAATGAACAAGCCTATTGTGCTGCGACTTACACCGTCTCACTGCACTGACAGTTATTACTGTTATATAACGTGTTTTTCACTCAGCTTGCACTCGCCATATCTCACTCTTATAATACGTTTAACACGATGTTGACATTGTACTTGCCTTTTCTCACGGTGTCTGTGTGCATCAGGATTTTACAATGTTTCCCTCCTTATCTGTGCCATGGCCACTACTTGTAAGTTGTTATTTTATCTGATATCATTTTAAAGATTTGTTTTTGGGCATTTTGTGCCTTCATTGGAGAGAGAGGACAGTGGATAAAGTCGGAAATAAGGGAGAGAGAGAGTAGGGAATGACATGCAGGAAAGGAGCCACAGGTCAGTTTGAACCTGGGCCGCCCGCTTGGAGGACTACAGCCTCCATACATGGAGTTTTAAAAGGATGCACCAGTGCACTTGGGTTGACACACTAGATATAGCCGATGTTGCAGTGCCATGGGAAATTAAACAAAATGATGAATTGCGAGATCAATGCAGGCGTTTAATGACTAAACCGCGGTTAGTGACTCACGTTCAGGCATCATTAACGTCTTAATGTCGGAGAACATTTTATTGACAAATCTCTGTCAGACAATGGAGATGACTTCCAAGTTTGGGGCCAACTTTTGAGCCAGGCAGCTTTTTCAAGTAGGGTCAGCCATCTTTCCTGTCTGAGCGTGTACCTTGCCCCGATGTCGGACCTCTACCAACAGGTAATCTCTCTCACCTGTCAGCATCAACAAAGCTCACAGCTCGACCCTGACGGCTTCAGCACACATCATCAGTCACTCGCTGAATAGATGTCTCACGTTCTCACTTCTCCCAGTTGGATGGTAGGATTTGCTTCCAGGGCATGCTGCCAATGTTAAACGTCACAAGACATGCAAAGTTACATGTCAAACACCTAGAAGACCAGACTGTATTTTATATGGATTCAGTATCCCAAAGCCAAACAAAGAAGGTTGTCTTCTCTGTCTCTTGACCTTTCTCTGCAGGGTCATGCAGGATGTAGCACAGCTTTTTACAACACAGGTAGTTATGATCCGCCATAAAACTCAACAATGAGTCATTACTTGACACAGTTAAGGGATCCTCTTGACTTTGAAATCGGCTTTGCAGAAGGTTAGACTGTACTCCCTGACACACTTAGCACAAAATCAGTCTCTAAAAGACCCATTTTTTTGTGTTTTAGTTTTTAATATAAACCCAAAAAACAAACGTCTTTTGCCTGATGAGGGTTAGCAGGTTGTGCTAATAGAGTTTGTTCTTGCTGTGGTGTTTTTTGGTTCTGCTACACTGACATTTTCCAGCCTCCTGCAGAAGGGGCTTTGTCACATTGTGTTTACAGTATCAAAGCAGAAGGCGGAGCTGCGGGCCTTTAGGGATCTGAACTTTATACAGCAGACACTGCCTGGTCTGGTCATGGTTTCTGGTCACCTCTGTCCTAACTGGATGTCGACTATAGCTTGACAGTTTGCATGCCTCGACTTCAGTAGGGTAGGCAGTCCAGAGCTACATAGAACTTGGCATGCTTCCCCTCCTTTTTCATGACCTCTCTGTCCCCTGGTCCCCGCCTATGACTTCATGAAGAGGCTTATCTACCATGAATAATGAATGGGGATTTGTATGTGTTATAGTGTGAACTCTCTTCTGGTTCTCATTATGCGCCTATCAAGGCGGATCATGGGTTCAGGGAGTCGTGCCTGCATCTGCTTTTCTCTCTCTGCTTTTGTTCCCTGGCTTTAACACAAACCATACTGGATGGCTTCGTGTGCCTGGAACACTATTTAAAGGCACACGTATAAGCTGTTTATGTTGCCTGGCTTTGCCTGTTCAGCCCTGTTAGAAATCACATGGGGGGGAAGTCATGCTTTCATTTTTTGCTAAGGGGCCGAGCCACACTTAGAGCAAACCCTTTTTAATTATTTACAAGCTGTCATGTCTGGAAGTCCAATCAAGCACTCTGAAGGGATTCAAAATGACAGCATTGTCAAGTGAGATAACAGCATTGCATTAGTGCTGGTGCCACATAGCTGAACAGCATATCATAGCAGCATGGACGTCTAAATACACAGCAGCAGATCACCGGTTTACGGCTTTGATTCTACAACAATGTGGAAAGTTACAGTGACAAGAATTCTATTTATGACTTTTTTGTTTTGATTATTTAATTAATTATAAAGGATTCAAAAATATCAGTGACCCAGACTCAATAAATAATAATGGAAAGCCTGATGTATTATCCCAACAATCGTGAACCTTGATGAATACTTTAAATCCTTTTTTAACGAAACATACCAAAAACAAATCTCTGGATCTTATTTAGCTGCCTTTCTATAATTTAATTTAATCGTTTATTTGAATCAGGGACAGTGTACAAAAAAAAAAAACATTAGTCTCAGAAGAGAAGAGATGCTTTATACCAGATTTAGCTAGCTAGCTAATTTCCATCTGTTGTCCCTGGGCAGATGATGGCAACAGCAAAATACAAATCAACCAGTCACGCACACACACACTATATTAAATATATTACTTAACAGATGCTTTGAATTTGATGAATGCATCAGCCAAGACAGCTTTATAAATAACGGTTTTTTTTTTTACATTTGCATTTTCACAACATACTTGTTTTATCATTAACCACTTCAGTTCTGGACTGTTATGTAGAATACAAATGATCTACAAAGCTGTGTTAGCCTGTTAGCATCTCCTGTAATTTTTACTCAACCAACATCAAATTAATCCAACAGGTTGTTGTGTTTTTAATCTATATTTTGGGTTGTGTTCTCAGTTGGGCATCATGTGTGTGACTGACCAGTGTCCATCTTTCAGACTGTTTTCAAGCCATCAGAGGACAGATTGTCAATCATGATTTGAACTGATATTTATGGCACCTACTTTGTCAAATCAATCACAAAGCAGCATCTAAACCAACCTCGTCTTACTCTATATATCGTCTCTGCTCGTAGAGAAAACACTCAGCATGCAGTCAGGCTGCTCAGGTCAGAGTGCTGCTGTACAGTCAGAAACTTGTCACGACCCCCATATACGCTCTGTGTTCTTGATGCTCCAGCACTGTTCAGAGGAAGAGGTCATGGTGGGTTCCTGATGAACCAGCAGCTGCTTTACATTATTATGGTTAATCTGGGGTCAGCTTTTTTGTTGCTCCCTGACCAAACAGATCGCCCTGTCAACCCTTTTTCTTTTTTTTTTCCATGGGAACAGAATTCCTCAGAGCTCTGGCGCATGCTCTTTTACAAACTGCAGTTTTAATAGATTTCAAATAGGGTTGTTTTATTTAAATGTTAACAGATGCATTAGCTCCTGTCTCCAAATGAATTGCACCACCAAAGCCTTTTTTATTGCTCCGTCCCCGCTGTGTGAAAGACGTGAGGCACTTCCATCCCCGGCATTGAGAGCATCTGAAGCATTAACAATAAGACTTTCCAGCCTCTGCTTCCTGAAAACTGTGCTCAAGATTGCCACTAATCTCAGCATCGGCGT